ACTCAAATGAAATCTCCTCTAATCTTGCGTTTCCTACAACAGCCAGAGGGAGTAAGTAATATTATTCTAACTGAACTGTACAGATTAGGAAAAAAATACTACCGAGGGACCAGCTCATTATAAAAAAGGGCTTTGAACTCGTTCATTCTAATTTAGTTTCCTGCTGAGAATTTGCAGGTCTATCCCATGGAAATCCTGTGAAAGTGTGGATGTCTGAAGTGGATGCAACTTCTCGGCAGGAGGTCAGGCTGGAATGAACCAGCCCAATGTCTGGTTGTCAAGTCATAAAAGTGGAAGACAGAGAATTGAGTTGTCTGTTTCTAACTTTTGATTTTCATAAACGGTTGCCTTTCTCGTGGATAAATATTGGTGAGTACATTTGAGCTCCTTTATGAAAGGCGTTGACAGCAAGGCAGTAGAGCAGACGGGTACTGAATGTTACAGGAAATAAGGAGCTATTTTTAGGGTCTGAGAGGTGGGACATGACGGAGATATTTTAGGACAATGAGTGTGTCTGCTCCACCCAAGGATGTATTTCCTTTAGGAAATAAGAAACTATTGACTCTGAAGGGTTTCTTTTCAGAAGGCTTTATCAAATGATTTCCTTCGTCTCCACTGCACGCCTTAACAAAAAATGTCATTTAGTTCTACAGAAGTAAACTGTGTCAATCTGGCTTTTCCCCCCAATATTCTTTGTGCGTTCTTCATACAGAGAGTAAAGCACGGATGGTCCCGCAGGCAGAGCAGAAGTTGTGAAAGGAAATCATTTCCGGATCCATTAACTGCATACATCAAGATCGCGCTGTTGCCTGCTTGGTTTGCAGCAGGATCTCAAACCTTCTTTCTGATGGCGAAAATCATGCCTCGTAGTTCACTCTGTGGGAGGGGCTTCCAAAAGTTCATGGAAAATGGAATTATGTTCATTAAATTTTCCCACAAACAGTTTTAGCCTCCTTGTATATACTGCTAGTCTCTCTCTCTGGTTGTACCATGCATATCTCAAAGTAGAGAGTGAGAAGAAAGGTGAAAATAATGATCATGAAAGCTAAAGTTTACTAAGCATTTTACTATATGTAAATCAGGGCTTACATGCTTTGCTTCATTAACTCATAGTGCACATTTCAAAATGATGAGCAAATGAAGTCATTGTGATTTCTCTATAATTCTACATTTTATGTGGAGGACATGATAGTCAAGCCTCATTGGCTTTGTGCAGGAGGGCTTAAGAGGGTGAAAACCTACCTTCTAACAATGGAATCCACCACCCATCTTTCTGACTGTTAATTTATTGTATTGTGGTGGCTTGCATGATCATGTGTCTAGAAACCATGCCACTGGCTTTCAAATGGCGACAGGGTCATTTATAGTGGACAGGTTTCAGTGGCATTTCCAGACTAAAACAGACTCGTTAGAAAGGCTTATTAGTCTGTTTCAAAAAAGGAAATGGCCAATGAAAGTAACCAGTGAAAACCCATGGAAAACAGCAAAAGAATGTTTGATCTGGTGCCAGAAGATGAGCCCCTCAGTAGGAAGTCCCTCAAAAGCCACAGGGCTGCAGCAGCAGCCTCGGGCACACCCACAGGGCCTGGCACTGTTTTCTTCTGTTGAACACGCTGTCACCGGGAGTTGGGGCCGATGCAATGGCAATTCACAACACAGGAATACCCAGAAATGCCTTCCCCCAAACTTCAAGCCTCCGCGTAACTTCCTTTAGCTTAGATCTTCTGACATGAACCTGCGTGTGTAGCTTTGTTTTATCTGCCATCTGACCCAGGCATGGATTCATAAGCTCCCCTGGAATATTTGAAGAGCTCTTGATCTTGATCACCCTGATTTTTTGTAACTTGAATTTTAATCTGACTTCAGTTATAGCAATATGATTCTCCATTGGGAGGTCCCTAGAATAGGATCTCTTATCTATAGCCCTGCAAATCTTACTGTGGTCACACCATAGCTGCATTGGTCAATGAAAGAACATGGGTGGCCTTCGTTAGCTAGGAGAGCAAGAGACAAAGAGCCTCTTGTCTTTGCAGCTCCCCACTTTGGCGATGTTGTCCACAGGTTCCCAGGAGGCCTAAGGTCCTACCAGTCACTGCTCTGACACTGGCGCTCAATCCAGAAACAGCTGTCCAGAGCTAATTTATTTCCTAATGTTCCAGCACTGTTAACTTATAAATTACACTGGTAATTTGAGCTAATATTAATTTCAGATGGTGTAGGGCAAGTCTAATTAAAATATGACACCAATTTCCACACATACATACCAAGGACTACCATTTAAAATTAATGGAACTATTAAGTGTAACACTGGTCTCCAAGATGCTCAGCACAGTAATTCTCGCCTTCTAGCCAGGACAGAGATGGCAGGTGTAGGCTTGGGGACAATGGCACCAAAACAGCGACAACACAAAAGGAACCACATATGCTTCGGTTCATTTAAAACGCTTCCCCTCTCCGAGTCTCCTTCACCCTGCGCACAATCAAGATTAGTTATTTATTTTCATCAAGAAGATGCAAAAAAACCAAAACCCCAAACAATAATAAAGCCTATTGAGATCATGAGAACGTTCTTACCATTTGAAAGTATGAGTCTCTTTGAATTAATCCTAGTTGTTTTCGGTCTATCTGGGACCTTTGGACTCTTTTCTCCTTATTAATATGTTCCCAGGTCTTTGTGCAAACTAAGCAACTATGAATTCCTTGCTATGATGAGCATGGGCTGTTACTTTGCTCTTCTATCAGCAATAGAGGCAAGAGAGTTCCTAAACATATACATGGCAGGTTACATATGGCTTCTTGATCATGAGGAAATGCAAGAGTTGCCTTCTTCCCAGATGGCGGCTTATACCAGGACCAAAGAGCGGGGACAGTGTTGAACAAGATAATGGCAGATATTTACAAGAAAGCTGTTCTGAAGCCACAAGGAAGAGAAAAGCCCATCAGGGGGCAGTATCGCACGGATGAAACACACAACCTTCCTCGAGTTCTCTAATGCTTCCTCCCACCCCACTACCATGACCCCAATTCTATCTTACAACTCTGACTAGACCAGAACATATAGACTGGTACAGATCAGAGCTCACAATACAGGGAATTCAGAACAGATAAACCCCTCAGGACCAATAAGGGGAGCAGCGATACTAGGAAGATAAAGGAGGCGGGGGTAAGAGGAAACCGATCACAATGATTGACGTATGGCCACCCTCCCAGGGGGACAGACAGCAGAAAAGTGGGTGAAATGAGACAGCAGTCAGTGTAAGACATAAAAAAAGAAAAAATTATCAATTATCAAGGGGGCAGGAGGGAGGGAAAGTGGGGGAGGGAGGAGGAAAATTAGGAGCTGTTGCCAAGGGCTCAAGTAGAAAGAAAATGCTTTGAAAAAGACGATGACAACATACGCACAGATGTATTTGACAAAATGGATGTATGGATGGATTGTGATAAGAGCTGTAAGAGCCACCAATAAAATAAAACTTAAAAACATATATATATAGATGTTCTGTTGTTTTTCTTCTTATCTTGACAAAAACGATGAGCCGTCCGAGAGCAGAGCAATCGTGGCTTATATGCCACAAATGCACATACAAGTTGACATTTCAGCGTTCCATTCTCCTCACACAGACGCCATTGTCCTGGTCCCCATAGACAGATTTGTAGTGACTTAGACAACTGACATGGCCTGAGGGAAAATGTCCCTTTCTTCCCTTGTCCATAAGACTTTAGTTTAGATCAACGAGAGACTCTGGGACTGCTCTTGGTCAAGTGGCCAGGCGCTACATGAAACCGTGCGGCCAGGCAACTTGCCAAATTACAAACTAAAGCAACATGTGTGTAGCACGTGAGTTTCCAAAGTGCTCTTATGATGATAGGTTTACGTTTGTTTTTCGTTTTTAAACAACTCTGTGAGGTATTGGAAGTGTATGTATACCATGCCTGGAAAATGTCCCTCAGTTGCCATGGGCAATCTCAGTTTATGGTTGTTTACCCAGGATAATTATTAATAGCCCTCCTTTTACTCCTAAAACTACTGAACTTCAGTGATGAAATGTATGGTCATTCTAATTATCCACACTCAACAGAAGAGTCAGGAGGTCCCTGGGATGAAGGCAGGCAATTATTTTGATTGCTCACGGTCTTCAGCAAGGAAGCGAAGGCTCGGGAACCCATTGTCAGATTAATGTTCAATGTTTTATCCCCTTTGAATGGCATGGCCTTCCCCACAATCTCGTGCTCATGGCCAGCCAGCCAGTCTAAAGACCAGCAGGAACAGGGTCATTATTGCTTAGAAAATCTTACTAACAAAATTGAGTTTCAGGATGATTAAGTAACAGAGTAAGATTTAAAGCGTAGTCTTTGTGCCTTAAATATCCTGCTCTCTAAAGTGTGCCAGACATGTGTTTGGGCATCAGTTGTGAAGTGCCCCTTGTGGGTTTGTCATGTTCTACTCAAGAGCTCTAGCATTGACATTTAGCAATTGATTTCTGCATATATAATTGATGATATAATGCTAAAAGCAGAATTGTCATGTACTGTGGTTGCATTTCCACTCCCTTTAGAGGTCGGTGTGCCTACGTGTGCATGTTTGTGTGTGTGTGTGTGTGTGTGTGTGTGTGTGTGTGTGTTTGTAGCTGATACTTTGAGGCCAGAGAGAGGTGCCATACTGATTCTGAAGCTAGACTGCTTGGCAAGATTTAGGCTGCATGAATGTCAAAATTATTAAACACTTCTTAACGACCAGTAATCATTGTGGGCACGAAGCTTAAGTTCAGGTAGCAACACAAATATTTAAGCAGGCCCACTGGAGAACAAAAGGAAAGCTGAAGGTAAAAGGTTAAGGAAAAGATCAGGGAGGGAGAAGTGACATTATTCTTGTAAGTCTGAACTTGGAAATGACTCTACAGACATAACGTATCTGCAGACATAAATATCCTATAACTTATTTTCTATGTTCATACTAGTGTCCCCCCCACCTGACCACACCTTTTCTTTTTCTCTTGCAGCAGTGGGCTTTGTTAGTGAGGATGAATACTTGGAAATACAGGGCATCACTCGGGAGCAGTCGGGGGACTATGAATGCAGTGCCTCCAATGACGTGTCTGCACCAGTGGTCCGGAGAGTCAAGGTCACCGTCAACTGTGAGTGTCCCCCACTACCCTGACATGCCTCTGAAGTCAGAATACTGCTGGGCCAGCCAGAAGGAAAGCTCCTTTGCTAAGCCAACTGCTAATTCAGCCTGGTGTATCTTCATTTTCCATGTCCACTCTGCTTTCAAGAGCAACGACGCCAAACTTTAGCTTTTTAGTGTGTGTGTGAATTTATTGTGAATTAGGTGGTGGTGTACATTTAAGTTCATCATTTTTGTATTCAACAATTTAGAAAACGTATCAAACTTTCACGTAGCCTACCCTGCCCCTCCCTTTTTACTCTCCTCCCTCTTATATGTATTGGTGTTATATTTTTTAAATATCATAGTGATGAAGTACTTGTAATGTAATCTCAAATTTTAGTTAATTTTCTGAAAGTTCATTAAATGGTATCTGATGCATGACTTGCATAATCTGTCTTCAAGTCTTAAAATTTCCCATAATCTACTCACCGTTGGCTGCTGGCCCCAGCCCTTTCATGCCCTGGATCAGCCAACACCGTCAGAAGTCAAAAGCCGGGGACTTGTATGTAAAAGGGAAATATTAGAACTTATACTGATAGCGTGTTCATTTGATCTTATCCTTCAATAATTACATATGCTGCAGCACATGGCATGCATGCATGAAATTTAAATATTAATTGATAAGCATTTAAATATAGTGTGATCATATATCCAGGGTCTTTGGTGCCCTTAAAATGATTTTGACCAATTGCACCCAATGTGAAAGAGGAGAATTGCCTCAGAGAATCTCCTAGGCTGCCAACTAGAAGCACATCATGAGGTCTTTATCCCTCAGAGCCTCTGGGTGTGCTCACAGCTTCAACTGTGAGTTCCCGGCTGAGCACTTCACTATTTTGCCACCAAGACTGGCTTTGTTACTAGGTGAGGTACACCACTCAAAACTTCAGAGACCACTGTTCTCAACCGTTACTCTCTTTTCTCGGCCTTCCAAATTCCTTGAGATGTCCAGCAGCTTCCAATCCCCCTCCCCCCCCTCAGCCTCTTCATTCTCACGTCCTCGTTATGGACATTGACCCAGTTCTCTATGAAACTGGGTTTTTTTTTCCTTCTCTGCTATGCCCGTTCATGAATTCTTATAACTGAATAGTACCCATCTGCTAACGCTATAATCCAGAAGTTGTTCTCCTGTTAAATGTGCGTGGATGTAGGTAAAGGTTATTATGTACTTAGCCTTACCTATTCTTTAATGATTTCCTGCTATAAGTGAAAAAAGTCTGGCATAGTGGTTACACGTTGAGCTGCTAACCACAAGGTCAGAAATTCAGAACTACAAACTGCTCCATCGGAGAACCAAGGCTTCTACTCTCTTAAAGAGTTACATGTTAGAAACCTTCAGGGCAACTCTGCCCCATCTAACAGGGTTGTACTTGATTCTGCGGCAGGAAGTTTGAGGGGCGTTTTTTGTTTTGTTTTGTTTTGTTAGATACTTCAAATGAATTGGAGTTGATTCCATGGCAGTGCGACCCTTTAAGGGAGGAGTTGGGACCATAGTGGGTTACAGTTGGGCTGCTAACCACAAGGTTGACAGTTCAAACCCTCCAGCCTCTCAGTGGAAGAGACATTGAGTCTTTCGGCTCCTGTACAGATTCACAGCCTGGGAAACCCACGGGGGCAGTTCTGCTTTTTTCTATAGGGTCACCATGAGTCAGAATTCCTGCAGTGGCAGTGAGCCTGGTTTTGTTTTTTGAGTATACTTCAAAGGAACCCTAAGGTGCTGTGGGTTCGGTATTGGCTTGTTAACTTCAACATCAGTAGTTCAAACACACTAGCTGCTCTGAGGGGAAAATACGAGGCTGTCATCTTCCATAAAGATTTCTAGTCTTGCAAATCCTATATAGGGTCCCTGTGAGTCAGATTTGACTCAATGTCAGCCGGAGTTTTATACTCCATTAAAGTAGCCTAGGGGACGCAGGGTTTGTTTAAGCCAGGGCTAGAAATGAAAAGAAAGAAAAAAGTTCCAACTCTCCAGCCTCTTCATCAGAGAAGGATGAGGCAGTGCTTTTCGGCACAGATTTCAGCCCATTCTCTTCTGCCCTGTGGGGTCCTGACAAGGTGAAACCATTTGCAGTGGGTTAGCTAGTATCAAACAAACAAGACGAAGATGACTTACAGGGAATAACGACGAACTTAAAACATAAGGAAGTAACAACAAACAAACAAAGACGTATAAAAGAAAGTAATCAAAAGCCAAAGCTAACTCTGAACACAAATGTATGCTTGAAGGTATCTAGTTGCGGATCCAGAATTTGACTTTGAGTTGTTACCGCAAAACGTGAAACCGTTACTTGCTTGCAGATTTGTATAAAGGGGTCAAAGGGGTAAAGGAGTAAAACGGAGTTTGTTTCTTGAGAAAACTATCATCATCTCTGGTCCTGAAACCTGAGCAGTTTAGCCACGGGATGCCCCAGCACCGTCCTGTGAATATCTCTTCTTCTATAGCATTCCTGCAAGAAATACACTAGCAAATGTGCTTGTTTCCGATTGTGCGCCTCAATGCAAACTGTTGGAAGGTCACAGAACACTTGGTAAACATTTCACATGAATGCAGACCAGGTATAGAAGTGAAGTCAGGCCTGGCTTGATTAGAAGATCCATCTGAGAACACCGGGAAGCAGAACGGATCTGTATATCCTGCAGGCAATTCTCCCTGATTAGTATTTCGTGCACCTGAGTTTTTGATGGGGCTTGAATAGTTGGAGGTTATATACTCTGGCAAGGACCTGGTGTTCGGAAATTAAAGGCTCCGACTGTCAACTCATGCCACGTAGAATTAATGAGTTGGCATCATCCTAAGCAAGTTAAAGAGTTTCAACGGAGGGTTTGTCTGAACACCTGGTCATTCCACGTATGTAGAGAGGGGAATAGAAGCCATGTGTGCTAGCAATACCCAGCTTTTCCTTTGAAAGGGATGCAAGTACATACAGTACAATATTGTAAATGATTCCATTCTCAGATACATTTGTTGAATGATTTCAAAGTGCAAGTAAGCAGAGGTGGAAGCAGGGAGAGAGGAACAAGAGTAGTATGTGAAGCTGGCTCTTCATTTTCAAATGTATTTATAAATGATTTCAGATATCTTCTCTCTGCAGATCCACCCTACATTTCGGAAGCTAAGGGCACAGGTGTCCCTGTGGGCCAAAAGGGGACCCTGCAGTGTGAAGCTTCAGCAGTTCCTTCGGCAGAATTCCAGTGGTACAAAGATGATAAAAGGTATAAGTTTTCTCCTTCCCCCACCAGAAACAGAGCTCTTTTCCAAGTTCCAATTTTGGAGGGTTAACCATGAACTTCTGTAACAATTCTTCCTCTTTAGAAGAGGGGTGTGTGTTGGGGGAGTGTTCTGAACAAAGAGTATGTTCTTAATGTTTAAGCTATGTTTCGAACATTATAAGGCAGAATCATAACTCAATAAGTCTGAAAGAATACACACACACACACACACACACACGAAAGTAAAATCTCAAAGGAAAGGGCAGTAGGTATAAGAAAATAACTTTCTCTGTCTGGAGACGTTACTACCACATTCTCCGACATGCAGGAAGGGCGAGGGTGCTCTCTAGCCTTGCGAGTGGCAGAGAAGTTAGATGAAGTTTGGATCCAGCTCTATCAATGGTGAACAGAAACATCCTGAACTGATTTCAGTGTGCGCGGCTACTGAGTCATTCTTACACTGCCAGAGCAAAGAAGGGACCCCCTGTTCCTGACCATTGTCACCTTCATCAGGTCATTTGTTGTCATTCACTAAAGATGATCATTGAGAAGGGTTATCAGATGGCTTGTCAGCACAGGGCTCTGCAGCTTCCTACAGACAAGCAACTTGACAGTGATTATTATCCAAGAGCTCGTTTAAGTGGCATGGGCACTACATGAATGTGGGATGACTGTCTGCATTCAGAATGTTTTCCTAAGACTGTGGGTGTGATGGGTGGCTGCAAAAATGGCCCGAGGCCTTATGTGGAAAAAGGAGTTAGGGAGGCTGAGAAAGTGAGGACAAACAACCAAAAGGGGCAAATCTAAGACAGAGAGAGAGGTGGGGTGAGTAATATTGGCTGCACTCCATAGAACGTCATCAACGCACCCTGGCTTCTGTATCATGCTGCCTCAAGACACCAGAGCTCCTCTGAGGTGAACCACTGATTGCAGTTCATTTAGCACCAAGTCACCTTGTCACTAAGTCCTCCCAAATGAACAGTCCTTTTCAAAATTTAAGGGACAATTCCTGGCATCTTCTCAGTGAGATGTTCCAAGTTCATTGAGTCCATTTTACAGGGTGGCGGGGAGTGAGTCAGGAAGAAGAGGCGGGTGGGGGGACTTTATAAGGATTTAGGAAGAAACATAACTAACGTTGCCCCTTATTCCTTCAAGTTGGAAACACGCAGAAAGGAAGGTACTTCTTGCAATAAATGAACATGATTGCCTTACTGAGAACTCCAACCTCAGCTGGTTTTGTTATGTGCTTTTTTGCCCCTGGTGCAGTTGTTAAGCACGTCACTGCCAACCACTCGCTGGCAGTTCAAACTCATCAGTGACTCCATAGAAGAACGGTGTAGAGATGTCCTTCCATAAAGATGACAACCTAAGAAACCCTATGCGGCAGTTCCAGCCTCCCATAAAGGGCCACCATAAGTGGCAGGCTACCTGATGGCTCATAACAACATTTTACTTAGAGGAAAATTAAGGTGTTAAGGAACAAAAATATGTTTAGAGACATCTACATGATCAGTTCCTAAATATTCAAACGTCTAGGCTAAGAGTCTTCGTTTTATGACGTTGATTCCTTATGAGAGAAATATTCAAGCAAAAAAAGGGGGAGGTGTTAAATCTTAAAATATAGTTAGTAGAGCGTGCCACAGGCAGAGATGGCTGGTGACAGTAACAAGGAAGGTGGAGCTTTCTCTCTCTCTCTCTCTGTTCAGGTCTATGGTTGCAGGGAAGTCTCTGGGTGGCAGGAAATATAAAGCCCTCGGTTACTAATTGTAACCAAGATTGGAGGTTTGAATCAGCACTGGTATAATGTGTTGTGCCTGGAAAGAAAGGCCTGGTCATCCACGTCCAAACAATAGCCATTGAAAAGCAATGGGACTATAGACCTCTTCTGACATCCGCGAGGTCTGCAGGAGTCAGAATCAACTGTCTGGAACGGGGGTTGTAGGAGGGACGGCACTATTGGCCCTGCACCAGTCCCAGGTAAAGGAGGTGAGACAGTATGATAGCCAAAAGTTGGAAGAGGCTGCTGACAACACTTCTTCCTCCTATTTCTGCTTCTCGCTGAGGTGGCTTCTGGTCTCCCCTTCCAGTTGCTCTTGGTTAGCTTTTTATTTGATGTACCTTATCAATGCCTCATCTTCTCCTCATAAATGGAGTTGTCATTTCTCCTGGTTCCCAGGTTCGCAAATGTTTATTTGCCTCCAAGACCCTTATCACAGCCAGGCATGCCTATGCTCTCTATGCTGCCAGTCAGTCTCTGCCAGACAGGTGCTAGAGGACAAACTGTGTCTTCCCTGAGAAAAGGCAGCTCAATCAAGCTCATGTGGGCCGTGACATGACCAGGCTTCTGGGACAAGCCAACGTAGCCTGTTGGGTAGGAACTGGGCAGCCTTCTAAACATGTAGGGTAGGAGTCTTCAGCTACACTCCGGCATACACTCAATTGTATGCCACCACATCTGTTTCTCCATCAAGAGTAGAGGAGAATGGAAGTCTGTATTTCTAAGAATCACTCAGCCACCAGGCCAGTGAAGAGTGTGCAGGGTCATTAAGGGGCTAGAGCTGGTAGGAGTGGGGGGCTGGGGAAAGGTGTGAACACACTGAGAAAAGAGAGACAGTCATCCGAGGAGCTGCAAAGTGCTGCAAAATGCTGCTGGCCACCCTAGACTGCTTTTAGCTAAAGACATTTCAGAGCTGTCAAACAAGCTGCTTCGGGTAAGTGTCTTCCCCACTACAGAGCCTAAATCTAATTCACAGCTGGTTCTGATACAAAGACTTCCTCCCAACCTATGAAGGGATTCAAGATGGCAAATGGGATCTGTATGCTTGACTAGCTCACAGAGTTTCCTAGTGGGCAAGATATAGTTCTTTCTCCAGACACTACCCCCAACCGGATCTAGATACATGACAAGCTGGGTATAGAAATGTGGCATCTGGCAACACAGCTAGGTGTCTTAATGTGTCTGGACAGTGCTCAGCTTTGTAGTGATGTCAGTGGACACGGACCAGTTCACTGCCCCTAGCTCATGAGAGAGGGAGGATCTCACATAATGGGAAAGTAAGTCAAGTTCCCTCCAACCAACCTTGTGACATCCCTGGAGAGCTAGAGGTCCTGTGCAAGCCCCATTCAACCCAGAGCCTGGCTCTCTCTTCTGATCAAGGTTTCCACAAGTTATCTGGGAAAGGAGAATCATTTTTGCCATCCTGCAGCCCCACCACAGAGATGAAACCATTAGATCTTGACAAAGCAAATGGTCTTCAGGCCTGAGACCTACTATGTTAGACAGGGTTCTCTAGAGAAAGAAAACCAGAATGCTAATAATTTTATATATATTTATGTAGATATATCGATAGATAACATAAGAATTAAACAGTTAATTAATCTATAAAGCAGTACAAATGGCTCAGTGAAACTCTCTCCTGTGAGACAGCTGTGAGACACTGGCAATCTTTCAAGTCTTGAGGGCTGCCGGGTAGTCCTCTGCAGAGCAATTCAGGCTATCCGGGCACAGGCAGCAAACAGCAAGGCAGGTCACCAACAGTCAGCCAGATGATAGGGTCCAACAGTCCCCAGCTCAAGAGATGTAAATTCTAATGGTGTGGCGAAGCAGGTCTTGAAGGAACATCAAATTACAGCGACACAGTCCACAGGTTAGGTGTCCCAAGGTAGTGTAGCTTGCAAATTGAGGCACAGAAAAAGCAAGGCAGCTGCACACTGCTCAGATGATCAAAGAGCAAGAAACAAGAAAGGCGGGGCTCGCCAAGCCATTTATCTCTCTGCCCTTCAATTAATCCCATATGTGTTCCTTGGCCATGTTTGCACAATAAACCTACCTATCACACCTACTGTGGGCCCATGGACAGACAGGGTTTCCCTATGTTCAATTCCAATAAAACTACATTTTAGCAAATTATATTTTATAGTTTATAAAGAATGTTCTCATCCTTTTCCTCCCCTTATCTATTTCTTTCTTTAACATTCTTTATAATGATTACCCCCATACCAGCCATTTGCTCCAATTCATGTGTCCTGATCATGTACCAGTCTGTACCCAGTATGGCATCATTTACCATCCATAATCCCTGCTCCAGTCAGGTCCTATGCAGGAAAATCAGGTTTGTGACTACCATGATATCGTTCATTTAGAAGTGCGGCCCACCGACAGAATTCATCATTCCTTTGGCATAGAATCAGCTCTGGGTAAGGAAGATAAATTGTTTCAGGGAAAGGAATAGGTTGGCTTTAAAGACTGGGATCTGAGATAGGGCACTTGAGAGCTTTCAATAAGCAAAGAGTTTGTCTTATACTTTCCATGTAGACATACCCCATCATAGGAATTGCTGCTGGCTGCCTCTAAAATGCCAGGCTGTGCTTCTTTTTGTATGAACCCTAGAAGTAGATTTCCACTTCCCCTATTTGGAATCGACATTTCTTATCAGTATATATACTTTTTTCACTGCACCAATGGTCTGCAGTATTCCTTTAGTGTGAAGTGTATTGCCCATGACAGGCCATTGTAATATAACGGGCTGCCATGTGGATTTCCCAGGCACATCATCCTGACACTGAAGAATTCATTATTAGGTACCTATAATCCTCCCAGACTGTTCTTCTGTGATCATTCAGGAAGATCATTTCTCCTAAGCCCTTCTGGTTGCCTGATGGGAAAATGATCCCTGATTATTTTCACCCACTCATGGCCTGGCATAAGGTATTATATGTAACATACCTCAAGATCTTAGGGGAAATATTGTTATTCAGGTGCTTAAAGAATAGATCTATGTACATA